ATCAGTTTGCTCAAATGTCACCATCCTCGTGTTGCACCTTACTTATCCCGCGCGTTTAACGGCCACGCTTAATTTTGAAGACTATAAACGTCATGGAGTATCTGTCAGGTCGTGATTTTTTGTTTATTTAAGTTTGAGAGTATTTTTCTCCATATTGTGCAAGTTTGGTCGAATTTTGAATAAGGATCTTGTAGAAAATCTACTTTTGATTTCGCCTATTTTTTCAGCGCGAATTTGGAGGGAATCCTTGAGGAATACATCTGTTCTGAGTGTGGCGAAGGGCAAAAAGTTCTGGTAGGCCCAAAAAGGACTAGATACAATTTCCTGAGAGAAATGGTACTAAGAGAGAAACCCAAAATGTTTCGTAATGGGTCTTATTGAAACTTTATTGGAGGCAGTGTAAGCAAAGTTAAATCTGGAAATTTCTTTTTTTGTCTGGAAACGTCAAGGAATTTTATTTTGAAAACAGAATTTACAAAATAACCTGAAAAAAGATTGGTGTTTTGTGTTTTGCAAAATCTCCAATTATAAACTTTAAACTCAGTTCATTTATATTCGCCCCGGAACAGCCTGACAACCGTAAAATAAGATACCGTTGTCACAAATGGCGGACATAACCGTCGCTTCAATAAGATTTTCATGAACTGTATGTTTAATAGAGCACCTTGCAATTGACTAAATTACTTTGGAACAACAATCAATCAAAGTGTCTGAATACTCATTGTACATTTAATAATGTTCAACCATCGAAATAAAGTCTTTAATTTAACCGTTCAAAATGAGATACGGGACAACGGACACGGTAATTACCATATGCCGCTGTCTTTCTAAATTACTCTATTTCAGATTCCGTTGTCATTGACGATATGGAAGACGCTATATTGTGGCGATTCACGACCCAATTTGATCGAAAATGGGATTTCATATGATACATGATCACAAGAGCTTAATGCATGCACAGAATTAGCGACGATAAAATCCCATGAAATGAGGACCAAATGATTAAACAGTTGAAGCTACGGTTACGTCCGCCATTTGTGACAACGGTATCTGACTTTACCGTAGTCAGGCTATTCCGGTGTGATATTAGTATTCTACCCGTTCGAGTTGGTCACCATCATTGAGATGACCTTGACTCATAAATATTGACTTTGACCTCAGGTCACCTTACTATGAGTCGCCGAGGGTCACAGTATTCTTCAAGTGCCTTAAAACGCCAAATACTTAGATATTGAACTTTCACCTGGCTTTGTATAAAAAACCTCCTACCTCATACCCACATACCCACGTACGTTGGACATGATACAGTCTTTGAAGGGTTCAATTTAAAGATCTTAGTTTATTGAATCTTAGTTTATGATGAATTATAGATGCATCTGTAACGACCCTTGATAGCAAGTTGCTACTACAGCCCAGTTGGGTTCGCTTCCCACTTGGGGCATCGAATTTAGCACACTTTCTTTCAATTTCTTTATCTGGCTTGTTGGACCTATGCTCGCGGTCATTAGTTAGATATTCCCCTGGGGTGCCCTCTGGTCATTACACATTACATTGCACCCATATGCCTTTATTTATGGATCTGTCATCCGTCTAGTCATAAAATAAAGCCGGAATTGTAGAAATGTTTATAATTAGAGCTATTTTAAGATTTAAAAATCTTTAAAATTGAACCCTTCAATGACTGTATCATGCCCCACGTAGGTGGGTTGGAGGTAGGAGGTATTTTATACAAAGCCCTTTCACCTTGAGATGACCTTGGCCTATAAACATTGACCTTGACCTCAGGTCACTTAATCATGGGTTGCCAAATGTCACAGCAGCCCAAAGGGTTTTAAAACGCCAAATACCTTGAAAATTGACCCTTTGAATTGAATGACCTTGACTTCAGGTCACTAAGGGTCATAGCATCCCCCAACAAGGTCCTTTAAACGGAAAATACTTAGATATTTACATTTGACCTTGAGAAGACCTTGGCCCATAAACATTGACTTGGAGATCAAGTCACCTTATTCTGGATCGCCAAGGGTCACAGCAGCTCCCTAAATCCTTCAAACGCCAAATACTTAGATATTGACTTTTGACTTTGAGATGACCTTGACCCATAAACATTGAACTTGACTTCAGGTCACCTTGTCATGGTCGACAAAAGGGTCTTAAAACGACAAATACCTAGATATTTACCTTTGACCTAAGAATGACCTGACCTAAGCGCCGGGTATGCAGGCAGACCACCGCGCTATTACAGTATATATAATCAATGTAATATGTCAAAATATTGTTGTAGAACGGCATGCAATGTTGGGGTGTAATTGTCTTTCACCTGTTGTGGTATTTGCTTGAATCAATTACGGGAAAGGATGCACCATCGTATTGCCGGAAATCAGAAAAATCCGAGCATTCATCATCATATTCTTATAATCATCATCTTGATCTACGGCGTATCAGTTGATCTAACCTTTGAAACATAAGATGGTTAATTATGATTCTTTGAAATATACTCGAGCCGTGTAGTTTAGTAGGAAGGTAGGATTCCCATGCAATCGAAATGTATGACAATATAACATTGTCATCTCACGTCCCATGAAATCCTGAAATCGTAGCAATCGGTAATTTATGAAAAATTTACCTACACTCCCCTCCATAAGTTTGGCAACCGGAGGTTAAGTAGAATAGTTTTTATGCCGATGTTGATGAATTGTTGAAAAAACAAGTCCTGAGATTTCGTTTTGTAAGTGATTGACTAGAAAGTGATAATGTATGGGTGGAAACTTGGGGGACTACATTGCGCTTTATTGAACAAATTAAAACAAAAAGACGGAGTGAAAAGACTACTCCATGATGATCCCCGTCTTCAAAGTCAAATCTTCAGAAAATATTTGATATGATAAAGCGGCAAGTTTTCATTATTATGTTCTATTACCCTTACCCTTTGCATTCGTTCGACTTCACTTCTTAATAGAGAGCCTCGTCTTCAGAAGTTTACAACTAGACTCTTGATCTGCGCGCTGGGTGTGAATGACTATGAATGGGTAGAATTGTCTTGCATCCTTTGATTGACTAATGAATTGTCTAATCATTATCATTTGAATCAATATTTCATCAATAAATCAATATTATCAGCGCCTCTCCTCTAGTAACATAAGTAATGCATTTAGTCAAATCGTATAATGTATCGAATACGAAGATATAAAAATGACTACTAATGTATGCAAAGAAACACCACGATTAACAATACCTCAACTCCTCTCGGCCAAGAGATGTTTCTTGAGAGGCCTGGATAATTTGATAAGTGATCACAATGACCTTGTTACGTGTGATCAATTTTTTAGTCTATTTATATTTATTATGTTTGCTCATGAATTAAAGGGAAAAATTTATGAAGAAAATAGTATTATATATTGCAAAGCATTATAAATATAATGTACTGTTATATGTAATATGTTAACGTAGAGGCAATAGAAAAAGCTTTTTAATCCCATGTGTTCGCTGTTTTATCATAAATGTATTTCTTTGCACTTTCGTGGCTTACTCTATTTATGGTAATGTCAACGGATTGGTGAAGATTGCGTCTTCGGGAACTATTCGCATTTTATTTCAGATGTTTTCGGGGATTCCTATATACAGGGTGGGCCAAAGAAACGTCCACATTTCTGTTTTGCTACAACATTTTTAATATTACAGAAATATGTTTAAATTATACAACATTGTAAAGACAATTCAATTTCAAAGAAAATGATATATAATTTATTTCACCTAGATGAGTATTTGTCTTGAAATAACATTTTGATTACCACAGTGGTCAAGATTATGATTTACCAATTGCTGAATACAGAAAACTGGCTAAGAACTGACCAGACAGATAAAACCCCCATGTCAGCTTTTAGGGGATATAATTCTAATAATAGTTAAAAATTGTTGATCAAATGAAACCAAATTGTTTACAAATACATTATTATTTAGTTCCTTTACTATTTTGATAGGTATTGGTAATATACAATAGCCTAAATAATGAAGTGAAATAATCGAATATTTTCTTATTTGCTAGACATTTTGTAGATAATGCCTATTTAAGGCTAAAATTATCATAAACAGGTCAACAATGATGTTGTTCTTTTATAACTTTTATTAACTTACATTTTTGATGGCAGGTAATGGAATCATAGACACCAAAAGAGGAAATAATTGAAATTAATTCCACATAATGGGTTATAGCAATGACAGAATTTCTACTGAGTTTCTTTGCAAAACGTGGTTGAAGCAAATTTCAATGCATCTAACAATCTTACATTATAACAAACTACAATACATAAAAATAAGTTCCATGATTATTTTAGAGCTCCAAAATGATTTACAAACAATCAAATTCAACTCCAATATTTTTTTCCTATGTCAATGTCTAATAAAAGTGTTGATTCAGCAATGCAATTATTATTCAATAAGCTCAAAACTACTGTTATTACTTCATGATGCGGAAATTATCGTGGAGTCACCAACAGCCATTCATATTTTATGAATCATACATCATTTTGTTGGGATTTGAATTATCATTCTAATGATATATAATTTTGGGATATTTCTAACATATCAGGAAAGATATTTCAAAAATAAAAATGTGAACGTTTTTGGCCCACCCTGTACTTAGTGCCACATTCTAGATCATCAGAGGTCCCTAATCTTTTACTCTAAGGGATAGTACATGCTGTTGGTCTAACAATGGTAGTACCATACACAGAGTAAATGTCATTCGACATTGGATCAATCCGCGTGTACTCTTAATTCGTAGTTGTTTACTAAAAGTAATGACAACATTTTGGTCAAACCAACGAAGTTCCAATCGCGTGTATCGCTTTTTATCCAGGATAGATGTTTCATCAATGAAGTTCTCATTTGTAAACATATTGGCATTAGTTAATCATTGGTTTTTGACTCGTGCGCAGCAAACAGTGCTTTATATTGGTATCTGCTGGTAGTCTTCATCACAATTAAGTTCACTCGCAGATTCAGCGCTAACAGGTACGAGGCGTAGCGTAACCATATAGCAGAGGAACACTGGGGTTGGTGAACCGGGTAGAGTTTGCAAGTCGTCTCTAAGCAATAGGATACAAGGCTATTGAGAATCTGGATGTATATAATTGAAAATAAAGTGAACTCACGCATCATTTTATGAAACTGAATGGAACGTTAACTAAAAAAGTTCCTCACAAATCGCAATTGCTAATTGCTCTAGTTGAAGGAGTTTACCATTGCGAAGATGAAATTTACGTGGACGTGATAAAAAGGTATTTGTTTTGATTAGTGTTCTACAATTAATTCATAATTCTTTTTTCTTGTTTATCAATATAAAGATATTATAATTTACATAAAGTTATCGCTGTGTCACTTAATATATATTGTATTGTGTTGTATTTTAATTGTATTGTATTGTCTTTTTGTATCTTCCTTTTAAAGAAGATTTACAGGAACAGGGTAGCAATTTACATTTAAACATTTGTTCTGCTTTTTAGCGCAGTCACACCAAGTAATCAAATAAGCAGGATTATTTACATGTGCCTTTTAGTGAAATAAAATTAATTTATTGAGATAGTATTGCTTTAAAGACAAACCTATTAGCACATGAAATAAATTCTCGACAAATTCAACAAAACTGATTATCATCTAAATGAAAATCGACGGTATTGCCATGTATTGTTTCCAATACTATATATTCATCCATGCCTAGCAGACACAAATTCTCTATAGACATAAAGTAAGTGAAATGCGTTCAAGGTATTCATTTTTCTCATTTATAAGCCCACAACATGTAATATTGTGAACCACCCATATGTTACAACGTGATTGCTCTATTTCCAGAGTCTATTACGTTGGTCTGACATTGGATTTTCTGGTAATTAACAAGAAACATAGGACACGTTAATTAATTACGCCACTCTCGTTCATATCAATTCACTGCCAAAAAACGGATAACACTACTAACTAGAGTATGGAGAATATTACCGAACAGACACCAATGGAATACACGTTGGTGTATAACGCAACGGATGACTACGTCCATAAAGCAACAGAAGGTACCGGTGGCAAATTTGATACATTAGACACAGATGGTTACGAATACTATGAAGACTATGAGTATGACTATAACGCCTCCGTCAATACATTCCCACTTGATGCAATCCCTGTTGCTGTCGTCTACGGACTAACGCTCATCCTCGGAATAGTGGGCAACTCACTAGTGATTTTCTGTATCGCTAGATACAGACGTCTGCAGAATGTGACAAATATATTCCTGACCAGCTTAGCTATCGCTGATCTTTTATTAGTTCTTCTATGTATCCCAACAAAGGTAGGGGCGCTTTAATTTTACATAGTTTGGAAAACATAACCAATCTTCTCTTACTCAAATCAAAAAAATGTTTAGCCTTGATAATTGGGGATTCCAGAATAATAGGGAGTTTAAGCTTACATTAGAGAGGTTTCGCAAAACGTTTTTTAGCTCCACGGATCCGTATCCGTAACTTATTTACCAGATTTATGCGTAGTCAGTTCAATTTATACGTGAAACAATACGGAAAACACGAAAAATGAGGCTTTTGTACGTTGGTCATTTACGTATCCGATTTTACCCTTCGATTATATTGTTTTTAGTTCTAAAGGTATCACTATATGAACAAGCACAGTGTGCTGTGTATAAGTTGACTAAAATTTGGTGAATGAATTTGTTTATTGTTTGAAATAAATCGAGTTTTTCAAATGGTATGTTCAATTCATTTTACACTGTATTGAATGGTATTGCAATAATTACAGTGTACATGTTTCGCACAACGTTTTAGCTATACGTATCAAAATCCGTAACGCATCGATGGAGCAAAAGTGTACTCAATACGTTTATGATACCAACAGCAACACCGAAAGTACGTAAACTAACACTTTCTGTGCGTTTTGTCTCCGTATCTATTTTGTCCTTCAAATCTTGATAAAATTTTCCCTAAATGTATAATTTTAGTAACCAACATATGTTATCATGTGTTTCGTGCTAATTTTGATGAAGTAATAGCCTTATCTGCCAATAAATTTGATTTTAAGCGAGCTAGGGGCCTGCAATTTTTACGAATAAAGCTTTAGTCACATTTGCTAATAGGCAGATGTAAGGTCTATCACCTGAATATTTACTTTGTGCCTTAGTCACGCTGCGAATTCATATAGAGTAGGGTCTTGGGCTTAGTTTGAGTAAAGTAGCTTGGTCCTGACCTCGACAATGAATATGATATTGATTCTAAAGATGGCGCCCTGCATCACTCTTGCCCGTATCCAGCTTGTGGCAAGGGGGAGCTTTTTGGCTTAAAATTCACGAAAAGTGCTCAGTATGATGAAAAACTGAATGATTTTGAGAAAATTTCTAGCCAGGTAGCTTCTTCCCGTGGTAAGACTTGAACACGCATCGAGTCATGCGATCTATGTCAAATAGTAAGCGGCCTCGTTTGGGGGTCCAGGGAGACTAGTGCCCTAAAGCTGAGTGCCCAAGCTTCCCCGAACCAACGTCAGTGATTATATAACAGGTAGAGTATATTTCTTTAATCCTAGGGTGATTATATTGGCGTATCATTTCCTATTTTCATTTTTGTAAAGACAGGGCTGACATCCAGATCCTGTATCAGATCTTCTCTCTTACACAGTCACGGTAGGGAACCCAGATGTTCCTAACTCTTTGGTAGTGGTCCATGATGTGTTCTTCATTAGCAGCCTTGTGATGATAGGGAAGGGAGACGGGTTGTTATTCAAGTACAAATCAGTAGATATCGGGTTGTCCCCGATTGTTTTGTGCGATTGTCTCCAGTTGGAATAACTTAGTTGAGTAAATCGGTATCAACGTTTCGTTGTGGTTTATTGGTTGTGCCTGATTGTGTTTTGATGGGCTATGTAACTCGATTGAGTATTTTGTTAAGCCTGGTTGTGTAATGGTGGGTTAGTGTCAAGTAGGTATAGGTTTTGCCGAATTGTGTTGTGTACGTTTGAGACTCGGTTTTCTTTTGATGGTTGTTAGTCTGGTGATTTAGTATCGAGTTGTGTCCCATTGTGTTATGTTAATCTTATCATGGGTTGTTTTCTCTTGTGAATATGTTATGTTGGTTGTCTAGCTGGTTGTGGCTAGTCGGGTGTTGTGTCTGATTGTGTTGTGTGATTTGCGTTGTCTCCAATTGGGTTAAGTTAGTTGTGTATCTCGGTATTACAATTTTAATGTGTTTTTTGCCCGTGCCTGATTTTGTTTTGATTGTTTGGTTTTTGGTTTTGAAAAATTGTGTTGTGTTACTTGAACAATGGGCTGTGTTTGCTTTTGTTGGTTTACCATTGGGTTGTGCCAAATTGTGTGGTGATAATTTCACAGTTCGATGTGTTTTCATGGTTGTTAGTTTAGTTGTATTTTATTGGTTGTGCCTGATTGTGTTTTTATTCTTTAGTGTTGGATTGTGCACAATTGTGTTGAGTTAATTCAACAATTGGTGAATGTGTTTGTCTTTGTTGTCTTATTATTTGGGATGTGACATATTGTGTTAATCTGACAGTTGGTTGTGTTTTTGGTGGTTGTAAGTCGATTGCGTTATGCTGGCTTTGGTGCTGGGTTATGCTATATTGCGTTCTGCGTATTTTGACACTGGGTAATGGTATGAGGTTCCATATCCATCCGCCAAAAGGTATAGTCCATTTCTATATAGTCCATTTAAAAACTTGTGGTTTTGTTCTAAATCACGCCATAGTTGGCTTCTAGGGTACCTAGTATGCCATTATTGGGTATCAAAATAAAGAGGAGGAGTTCAGTTTCATTTGAATTACGAAAATAGCGATGTAGGTCAAAAATAGTTCTGACGTGAGCATGTTTACTACGCGTTTGCCCTTCATGTCAGAATTGAGGAAATGGTAGCAAATGCGAGTTACAATAAATGGACGCTGATATCTCAAAAAGTAACCTGACTCCCTATAATTTGATGTAGATCAATCGAACCCCTATATGAACAGGTACATTTCGATATATAACACTATTGGGGGTAAGCGTTTTATAGTTGATCAGGAACGCCATATGTGCAAAGTATTGTTCTGAATTTTCGAATTTGGTGTTGGATTACGGTACTCATACCTTATGTTCTATTGTAATGTTGCATGATTGGTGATTAAGATTGTGTTTGGTTGTAATAGGTTATATATGTCGAGATGTGGGCTGTGTCCGATCAGGTTGTGGTGTTTATTGGGTTAAGAAACAAAGGGCGGTGTAAAAGGGTAGGAGGTCCTCTCAAATTATGGTCCTACTCTCCATTGATTTATATGGTGACCTAAATACAACCATTTCCCTTATTATCGCATACACAATCAGGGCCAATAAGGGCCGTTTAGAAAGGGGACCATAATCCCTAGGGGACCATCATTTCTTTCACACCTGTTTAGGGTATTATGTTGTTGGTTTATCAGTTGATTCTGTGTAGACCCCAAAGGGGAAATAGGGTATTATGATGGTGAGATATTCAACTGGTATGATATGCGTTAGCTTCGCGTCGTTCTCTGATGAGCTGGTCCCCTGTTGTTCAATGAATTCAAGAAAAACAATGCTAATTTATCGTTTTACATAATATATTTTTTGTTGATTTCTCATACAAAACATACTTTTATTGCATAAATGATATATATATGAGGCATGGGTTTTCAACTAAAGCCCATGTATGAGGAAAGGGGGGTGGCTTGTGTGAAAACGTATGGTTTCCGAATGCCCTGGCCTTGCCCAAGTCGCTATTTTTTTACTTATTTGATCTTGAATTATTACCAAAATATACAGCTGCAAAAACTTGAAATTAAAGGTCCATGTGCAGTATGGCAAGTGGTTTTAGAAATGTTTACGCATTTTGTGGCATTATGCAGTCACTGCACTTCACGTAATGACCACTAAATCTGTTTTCAAACCTTTGAATATTCCCAAAGGTACAATTTGACACTGAATTGGTTATTGTAAACCTAGAAATAATCTTTTCTGGTCTAAAGGATGTTCTTGATGTCATGAAATTAATAAATGACACCTTTAGGGATGAAAGGGTTAAGATGTATTTTTGCACTCATCAAAAATACTTTTGGAGTTGTGATTCTGAAAGCTGACACTCCCAATGATGTTTTGAAATCTTAGTGCAGATGAAGCCTTTTATTTGACCCTAGTTTTCACTACTATTAAACGCGGATTGAGATGCGTTTATAATTACGTACTTCAAAAAACGAACTGCGAAACGAAAATTATCGAAATACGTATCCGTAAACGTAACGAGATACGAATGCGGATACGTTTTAGCTAATTCGTTTTGCGAAACCTCTCTATTGTTTTTCACAACCTAAACGTGAACGGAAAATATATAAGCGATGCATTTGTTTGGGCGATTGGTCATACGTATAGGTTGGCGTTGCGATTTTATATGCAAGCTTAAACTCCCTAATGAATCATGTACGGTAAAACAGCTGCCAATAGCACAATCTATATTAAAGGATTTTATCACTTTGTTATCACATTGATACAAGGATTGCTGTAATTTTCTCAAAATTGTGCTTTCATTGCCATTCAAAGTTAATAACAGGTGCCAATATTATCTCATATCGAAGCAGATTTTTCTATTTCTTCAGATTTAGAATTTGAAATCTCTCCACTTTTTATTTATTTTTCCCAGCATAAAAGAGTGCACGAATGCATTCCAATGACCTTATGGAGATTACAATGTGGTTATATAAGGTATTTCCAAGTCATAAATAAGTGATAGATATTTGGGCACGCAACGGTTTAATTATATCATAAATTAAGTGGAAAATGGCAATTAATTAGAAAATCTGAAACTCCTTGTTCGCCTCTTACTAAACTCGACCCTTTCCTATATTAACAGGTATTACGCTGCAGTAAAACCTGTTAATCCGAACGCCATTGGGACCGGCTAAAAGTGTTCGGATTAAGAGGTGCTCACATTTCGAGGTCATATCTTGAGCTACAGAAAACTCGTATTTCTGAATTAAAAAGGTGCATCTCTTTAGGAATGATTCCAGAATAAATTTGGATTACCTCCCTCTTTGTCGATAATTGTGTAAATCATATGTCTACTAATATTTAACGTTATTGTGAAGACGTGAGAGCGACGACATACAAATCCAATTGACATTTCTCGTATATGGATTTTGCAAGACAATTTTACTAAATGAATGACAAGCAGCCATGCCATGAAGAAAACAAGATAACATTTCTATCTTGGTCTTCTAAAAGGATGGTAACAGGATAAAGGGAAGTTGCAAATTGGGCACTTCTGTGTCTTAATTCATCAATAACTTCCGTAG